TCCCCAACAGATCGCCCTGTCAGTCAGTTCAGGCGCAGCGCCCATTCCCTCGGGTCAGATGGGGGGCAGAGGTTAACCCTAGGAAAGTGTCTAATTCCCGCTGAGGTCTGCGCGTCCACCCAGGGAAGCAATGCACAAGCACACTTTTACTTAGTTGGATATTCAGTCTGTAGACTTAAGTCACTATGAAAAGTTTCAAATTTATTTTATCTATGCTTATAAAATAATGGTTTAATCTGTTACTTAGATTTATACAAATTTATTTCACTCTTAGGATACAAGAGCTGTCTCCTTGACTTACTTTGGTTACCCTTGTTTAAACCACCCTGAGCTCATTATATAATCACACTTCTGAGGTAACCTGGCCTTTCTGAGAGCTCATCAAATCAGTTTTTCTTTCAACTACTGGCTTTTAAAGGCAGTATAACTATTCCAACGATACTGGCATGGATTCTAGTAACGCTTCTGAAATTCTCAAGAAAACTATTAATAGGAGCCAGGTGTTTTTCTCCAAAAACAGCATCACCCATGCACACCTTAATGGCACCTTATGCTCTTGCACTTATCTGTAGCAATTTTTAAGATAAATTAAAAAGCAATGTGGCTGGGCATGGGGGTGCATATCTGCACAAGGCTGAGGCAGGAGGATTGCTGTGAATTCAAGGCCAGTCCCAGGTAATAATGAGCTCAAGCCCAGCCTGAACTACATAGCAAAACCCTGTTTCAAGAAAACAACAAACAAATAAACAAAGACAAAAAAGTACAACCCAATGCATACAACAATAAATAAATCAAATGCTATACAGTGGTAAGAGAATGATGGCAGTAAGGATGAAGATTTGATTACCTATAGAGGGAATTTCAGGAACAAGTGGAAAAGAAATTTTAATGTATTTATGTACTTTCTGATAAATAATGCCTATGTGCTACTGGTTAGATATGCTTCAGGCTCCAAAGACACTTTTCTAAAAGGATCTCTAAAACTTGAGCAACCACAGACTTGATATTTGGCCTCCCAAGACCAAAATACATTTTTCTTCATCATTATTTTCTATTTTTTAAATTTTAAAATGAGAAAAGAATAAAAATGACAGAATTTCAAACAAAATAATTGGAGATTAACAAAGGTCAATGTATTGCATATTATCTTCAAAGCAGTTGCTCAGATTACAAAATATTAGACATGAAAAAATGATCAAAGCAAAAATCGTTCTTTCTGATGAGCTAACAGAGATTTGTAGTAATTACCTATCTTGTACATTTATATATGTATATAATCTTTTACCTTCTTTTTTCCTTTCCCCCATCTCAGTTGTTCTTTCCTTTCAAGCAGTTACTTTCCCTTTCCCAATATCTATCATACATTTTGGATCTGACTCTTTCTCTTTTCTTTTTGTTTGTTTGTTTGGCACTGGGGATTGAATTCATGACTTCGCACTTGCCAGACAGGTGCTTGTACCACTGAGCTAAACTCCCAGCCAAAACACCACATCTTTTTTTTTGTATCAGGGATTGAACTCATGACTTTGTTCTTGCCAGGCAGACACTTTGCCATTGAGCTATCCCCGGCCACTGTTTCAGTTTTTACAGAGATAATACATGTTTATACATGCAAATCTGTTTTACTTTAAAGTATGGTCTCAAGTTGCATCCATTCACCTATGAAAGCCTCAAGTTTATCCTTCTTTATAGCCTCCTAGTACTCTATTGTATAAAAATACATCTGTTTTATCCATTTTGTTGATGATGGGCATTTGGGGGTGTTTCCAAGATACAGCTATTACACATTGTGCTGCTATAAACATAGGTGCACATCTATCACTGTGGCAAGATGTTTTCAGTTCTTCTGGGAAAATACTAGATTGCTAGAAGAACAGCTAGATTGAATGGGACCTCCAAATGTAGTTTTAACGAATTACCACATTGACTGTACCAGTCTACACTTCCACCAACATGGATGGTAGCGAAGGGTTCCTTTTTCTCCACAACCCTGCCAGCATTTATTACTGGTTGACTTCCTGATCACAGCTATTCTTTCTGAAGTGAGTTGGAACCTCAGTGTTTTAATTCACATTTCTTGAATGACCAGTGGTGGTGAACATTATTTCGTATTTTTATTTGTCATTTGTATTCCATCTCAGATGGCCATTTTTGGATTGGGTCTTTGATTTTTCAGTTTTTTTCAATTCTTTATAGGTTCCAGATGTTCATCACTTTTACCTTGCAACATCTGCCTCTGCCTCCAGCAAGAAACTACATAAGTTTGCAAGAAATAATCAGCAATAATTTATTTCGGGACTTTTTTTCAGTGTTTTTCCCCATCTAACTAAATTGGGGTACCATGGGTTACAGTCGTCAGTACTTTCTAAACTTAACACGCACAGTGATTATGTGTTCACTGTGTGCAGAGCACTGGTGGCGGCCCTTGGCTCTCAGGTGATCTATGACAATGGTGACAGGAGATTCTGTAACATTTCCTGTAGCTAAGGCTGTCGTCCCATCTGCCCGCTCCAAAAAGGAGACAAAAGTAGTAAAATTTTAGGATATTAAAGCTGCTATATAATAAAACAGGATAAATTCTATTAAACATTTGACCATTAACCTCAATTACAAGCTACAGGAGGGGAACACAAATTAGTTACAACTTGGTGATAAGTTAAAGTGGAATGATTCTATTTTTCAGACAATAATTTTTTATAATTCACTTAACCACTCAAATATACAATATCCTGCCTTGCAAAACGTCTTACGAATGAATAATTTTTGGTATATGTGCTGCCAAAGTGAGTGCATAAAGAATAATTTTTGGAAAGGAGTTAGTCTGTCTTAATTCTTTTCAGAAAATACTCAAAGTATGAAGTAACTTCGTGTTACAATGGCTTAATTGTTTAATTACAATAGTTAATTTATCAACTGCCATACTGACTTAAAGAATGAATGATGCTAGTTACTATTTACTGTTATTGGATCAGCAAATAATCTATAAATCTGTAACATTTGTAGTAGATTAAAATGCATTTATATGTAATCTCTTACTCCTACATTCACTGCTACATAGATTGATTACTATCCTTAGAAAATGCCTGGTTCTCCCTCTGATAAAATTCAAAAAGACTTTAGAAATAAGAGGTCAAGTATATTGTATTTCTTCTGTATCTGTTTCTTCAACTGAGTGTTGATTTTTATTTTTAATCTTGGACACAGATCAGTTACTTTCTTGGGTTAAAAACAGTACAGAAAGACTTTTAATTCTTCAGGTGATATTTTAACTACCTAGAATTGGCAAAGGAAAAAGGGATTTAAGGTATTAAAATTTATCAAAGGATAGCCTATAAAATATGCTGATCATCACTGTGATCTGAAACATTCATAGCAGTAGTCAACATTTTAACTACAATGAAGTGACAGTTTTCCAGCAAACAATCTATTATTAAAAAGCAATCTCCCTAAGATAGCAAGTCAATTCTGTAGACTTTCTGGACATGAAGAAACTGAAAAAAAGACTTAGGCAAAATAATTATTGTAAACATGAAATAACAGCCAATCCCTTAATCTTTTACTACTAAAACACAGAATGACTTAATTTACTAGAAAGTGAGAACTAAATGTCTAAATATTGTTTATTCAACTAAAAGTTTTAACTGTTAAGTAGAGTATAACAGCGTCCACTATTCAACATATGATTTAAGAATCCAGACTGTCCCTATATGAGAGTCAAGGGAGATGTATCAGAATGAATGTGGAGGGAGGGACACACCCAAACTTCATTTAATTATAGAGTAATCCAAACTCTTGTATTTTTCTTAAGTTTTTTTCCCAAACCAAAAACAATTGCATATTCAGTCTTATTACACTGTGCACATACTATAAGCCCTAAAAGAGCAAGGGGAACTTTGCACTTAAAACATTTTTAACTAAAAATTTTGCAAAAATTATCCTGTTTACAAAATGTGCGTTCTGGTCACTAGAAATTATTAATGGATTCTCTGATACTGCAACCAACTTACATATTATCGCAAAAATATAGTAACACAGTAGCTTGGGACTTTCTGGCTCATGAAATAAAAATAAAAGATGAGCAAATTTCCCAAAATACCTACTACATGACTTTCCCATAACTGCAGCACTATCTGATCACACACAAACACTCCCCAAATAAAGTTGACGCTAATTCTGCGGCCAGATAATTCTTAGTTCTCACAAGATGTTTTTGAGTAGCAACCAGAAACGTGGGGTTTTTTAAAACTTGTAAATCGTCTTTTTTGTTTTGTTTTTTCATATCATCATTAGAGTACATAAATTCGTTTATTTCTATGCTGTTGTTTTAAACTTTGAATACTGGAAATTTTCTGAAACCATAGCACAGCCACTAGTTCAACCCTTTTCCCGCTCCCCAAAGCAACAATAACAAAAAGCAGAATTTTCTTCCCCAGCTTTCTTCTAGGAAGAAACCAACACGTCGTTAGATTACTTCTCTCTTCCTTTGCTCTGAACTCTCGGTAGCATCTACCTTTCCCTAACACGGAAACAAACCCTGGGCAAGAAGATCCTCGAAGCCGCCCTCGCCGGGAGCGTTTAGCGGCCTGGCCCGGGCCGGGTCCCCGGTGTGCGGAGCTGTCGTCTTCCAGCATCTCTCGGGGCGGGCAGCGGCGGGGGCCCGGGATGCTGGCTGGAGGGCGCCCGGGCCCAGGGCGCTGCCGGCCCCGCCGCGGCCCGCGGGAGGCGGAGGCCCCAAGAGCAGACGCCAGGCCGGGGCGGCGGTGCGGAAACGGAGCGCAGGCCCGGGACCCCCGCCGCTCCCCTCCACTCCCCTCCCTTCCCCCATGCAGGGAGCAGGCCCGGGCCGTGCGAGCACCCAAGAGCGAAACCCGTCCTGTCACTGCCCCCTGGAGACGCCGAAGGGACGCACGCTCCACGCCGAGGGGCCGCGGCCACTCCGCCTCGCGCCCCGAGAGCCTGACACCACCTCCTGCCCCACAGCTGCGTCCCCGGCGCCTCACCAGGTCGTAGTCCTCCTCATCATCGCACATGAAATCATCCTCCATGTCAGACATCTTGGCCGGGAGGGGGGAGGGGCAAGGGAAATTGGAGACAGCCTCCTCCCACAATCCTCCGCGGTTCGGAGGCGTCGCTCCCAGCTTCTAGCCTTGCCGTGGATGTGTAAGCGGCCGGGTTGTCCACCCGGAACCAATGCGCTGAGCACGGAGTGCTTTCGCTACTACGCTAAAACCGAGTGCACCACGCCGCTCTTCCTGCGAGAGCGCCGGCGCCTTAGCAACTAAGCATAGCAACTGGGAAGTCGGGTATTGCGGTTTAGAAAACCTTGCGCTCTTGTGGAGCGGTTGCTAACCTTCTAGGGAGGGAACAGCCTCGTCCCGTGTGTGAGACCCGGAGCCATCTCATTCGGGTGAAAGTAAAAGGGCAGCCTAGGACCAGATACCTTTAGCCGAGGGAAGCGGACATGCCCACCCTATGTGACAGGTAGTGTACTGTTGTCTGCCACCGTTATCAGCGTGCATGTAGCCGGCGCCTTTTGGCATCGCTGTGCACACGTAGTGTTTCTTGTATTTGTAATTGACGTAACGGCTCTGTGAATATCCCAGGTTAAGTATCACTCTGTCGTGATGCCATCGGTTTTATTTCGTTGCTCAACGAGTTATAAACTGACTTTTTCTGCCCTTGGGATCAAATTAAGGTTAATAGTTAATGATTAAAAAAAAGCATTATCACTGCTAAAATCCTTAGCAGAATTGTAAATAAAGAAAAAATAAAATTGAAACAAAGGAGAGAACTGCTTTTCATACAGGTGGCATAGGTTTCAGTTCTGCGTGTTTACATCCACGGATGATGTGTGGTAGTAGCGTAGATATAATTTTGGATTGTTTGCTCCTAATTATTGTACCAGAATAGATCAGAACGTATAGACATGCTCTTGACAATGATTATTTAATGGCTGTGTCTCAGTGCAACATAATTTATTAGTATACATTTAGAATGCTGCAAAATAGCTCTTTTATCTTTTCAGAGAAAAAAAAAGAATCACAAGGCTTTTTGAGTAATCATTTGAATTGACACTTTGTTATAGTTCTTATGAACTGTGTGTAAAACAGTAATGCAATCTTACCTGTTATGCTATAGCATAACACAAATGGTTTTCCTAATAGCTTTTTCCTGCCTGCATCTTATTAAGAGAAATTAACAAACATAGGTAAAATTGAAAGAGTAATACTGTGGACACAGTGTATACCATTAGCTTTTTAAAAATTTTTATTTTATGGGTACCAGGGATCGAACTCACAGCCACGCGCTTGCAAGGCAGGCGCTTATGCCACTGAGCTAAATCCCCAGCCCCAACATTAGCTTTAATTGTGTGTGTATATATGTATTCCTTGAGTCAACTGGAAGGAGAATGCGGATATATTACTCCTAATGTAGCCATGCATATTTTCTAAAATTAAGTCTATGCAATCATAAAATCATCTTTACATATAAAATAATGTCTCAATACTCAGAAATTCCTCTATTGAACATAAACTTTCTTTTTTAAAAATTTTATTTAAGGAGAAAAAGAAAAAAAAACAGAAAAAAGGTACAAGTTATACAGAATTTCAGAAAAAATAAACAGTAGGAAATCACTAGTTAATAGATTACATATTGTCATCTTAGAAATAGTTGTTCAAGTTACAAAATTAAAGCATATAAAGTGGACTTTCAAACAGTGAGACTGCAAACAGTTCTGTTCATGAGCCAACAAAACTCAGTAATATGGTTTTCTATCTTATACATTTAAATATACATGTAGTTATATCCTTTAGAGCACTTTCTTTTTCTCTCTTTTGTACAATGACATTTACACATTTTGGTTTTTATTACTCCCACAGTTCTTACTACTTTTTTTGAACAGAGTAAAACCAAATGTGACATAACAGAACAGAGTCAGTCAAATCAAAAGAGTGGACAATAATACATAATGTAAAAACAAAATACAAGGTGATCAACAATGGTTACCATACTGCCTTTTGCTATCTTAAAAAGAATTGCCTATATCATCAGTTATAATAAAATTGAACAAAACAGTAAAGAACAAAACCAATAAAACCAAAACATTGGAGACATTACAGGACTTCATAAGAAGGTAATAGTCAACCAGAATGGGCGTCATAATGAATCTTATTGTCTTCACAGTTGTTGCCTATACTTTCGAACTTGGTACTATCAGGCAAAACAGAATAGAGGAAAATCAGTCAAAACAAGATGGTGAGAGCAATACAGGGTTTCAAATCAGAACATAAACTTTTAAAACAGGAAGAAAATTAAATAATACCACTATAGAGACGGAGGTTTCCCAAAATCCACATTAGAGATTCTGAATCAGTATTTCTGGGATGGAGCTCTGTACTTGCAAGTTTAAAACAAATATTCCTCAGACTGGGGTGATTGACTATACATCTCAATTTGCCTGGGAAAGAAGTGTTTTTTTTACTGTCAATCCAGCATAATAATCAACAGCACTTTCTGCTCTCAGAACAATAAATCACATGGCTATCAGTAATTCATAAATCTTCAAAAAAGCACATAGAATCCTAAAGTAGTTAAGATGCTTATCTGTAGCCAGGCATGTGGTGCATGCCTGTAATTCCAGTGCTCCAGGAGGCTGAGACAGGAGGATCCCAAGTTTGAGCCCAGCTACTTAGTGACTTGGGGACACCTTGTCTCAAAATTAAGAAAGGGCTGGGTATGTAGCTCAGTGTGAAGGCTTTGAGTTCAGTCCCTACTACACAAACAAGAAACAGAAGGAAAAGGAGGAAGAGGATGAAGAAGAGAAGGAAGAGGAGGAAGAGAAGGAGAGGAGGAGGGAAAGAAAAGGAGGAAGAAGAATAATAGAATATATTATTGTTGTTCTTGTTTTTGATTTTGGTTTTGGTTTTGTTTTGAGACCGTCTTGCTTTGTAGTTCAGGCTGGCCTGAACCCACTGTGTAGCCCAGACTAGCTTCAAACTCACAGCAATCCTCCTGCCTCAGCCTCCCAAGTGCTGGGATTACAGATATATGCCACCACACCCAGGGAAGATATTGTTGAAGTTTACTTAATCATAGGTTTGCTTTTATTCAAGATAACAATTCTGAAAGTATCTTTAATAGATAATAGATAGTGTGTGCATACTGACCATACATGTAAAACTGCACGCTGATTTACACTGAATTTATTTACATAATTTGCTGCATTTCAGTATAGTGCCTTGCCCTTATATGGGGGGAAATTATTCAAGTAACTATAGTTATTCAAGTTACTAAATTTTGAGCATAATTTTTCTTTGCCTGTACTTAAGTTGGTTAAGCCCAGTCTGAAAAAGTTTGCTCAGAACAATTGAAAAACCCTTCAAAGTGCTTAGAATACTACTTAGGTACACAGATGTGAATGCATATTTGTTAAGTTCACATTAGTGAAGTAATCTTTTTAATGCAGAGAATAGCTTTATATCTAACTCTACACATCAAAATATTTTTCTGCTGGTAACAGCCCATTCTAATGTTACCTATTCTCAATACTTTATGCAAATAAAATATTGTCTGTACATCAACTATTCAGTAGTAAATTACTGAAAAAATTTATCTTAACAGGGCACATTGCTGTGATACAGTGAAAGCAGATCTTATGGGGCTGTAGCTCAGCAGCACAAATGCCTGCCTGACAAGTGCAAGGTCCTGAATTTGCTTCCTGGTACCAAAAAAAAAGTAGATCTGATGTTTTTAAAATTATTTTAAGATTTTTGAAATATAATTTATGAGCCATATTAAAGGACATTAAGTTGCACATACTTAAAGTGGATATGAATTTTCATATATGTATACACCTTTGAAAACATCACTATACTAAGATAGTGGATATTTATTACTGCAAGTTTCTCCCTTTCTTTCTTTCTTTTTTTTCTTTTCTTTTTTCTTTCTTTCCTTTGAGTCAGGATCTCACCATGTAGTTCAGGCTAGCCTTGAACTCACTACATAGGCCAGGCTGGCCTTGAACTCACTAATCCTCCTGCCTCAGCCTCCTGAGTGCTCAGTACAAATATCTGCACTTCTGATAGTTACACAAAAAACATTAGGAAAACAACTTGAGAATTTCTTAAAAGCTAGTATCTATTGCTGTACAACAATATTACCATAAACTTAGAGGCATACAGCAATACATTTACTGTTCCACAATTTCTGTGGTTAGGGAGTCAGGGTGCGACTTAGGTGGGTCCTCTAGAGACTCACAGAATCTTATTTGGGACTCACTGGGGGAAGGACCCACAGATTTGTAGAAGAACAAAGTCTTGAATAAGATGAGTGTGCTGGTGCATGCCTGTAATCCCAGCACTAGAGGGGCTGAGGCAGGAGGATTGTTATGAGTTCAGGACCAGCCTGGGCTAAAGAGTGAGTTTAACGCCAGCTTGAACTGCATAGTGAGACCCTGTCTAAAAAAAAATCTTGAACCAGATCTACTTAATCTGAATCAACAATGCAAGCCAAATATATAACTAGAAATTTTCTAGGAGCCACTGTAAGAATAAAATGAAACATGAAGTTAATTATATATTGTACCTAATATGTCCAAAAATCATTTCAAACATAAAAAAATATATTCAAATATTTTATTTTTTATTTGGAGTCTCCAGAATACAGGTACATTGAGAGTATAGTGTATTTCAGTTCCATCTGGCGGCAGCAAGCAGTTGCCACGATCAATGGGACAGCATGCATCTGCTCCCTCAAGGCAGGGCCGTGTCACTGTGCTTTTGCACTCTGGCTGAGTATGGAGCAGGGACTCTGGGATGTTTAAGAAAGTTATAAATTAATGGACCTGATTAGAACCTGGATGGCCACTTCATGACTACAGGCGAGTGTCGGACCTCTCCTCCATGAAGGAGACATAAAAATACCTACTTCATTAGGTTGCAGATTTTGAAAACCACTTCAACTCTCCCTGCAGTCTTCATCTAATCTTGTTTGTCATCTTTATCTTTATGTTTTGCTTTTGGGCCCAGGATGGAACTCACGCCCTTGAGCTTGCCAGGAGTTTGTTATCTTTAGGACTGTCTGATGTTACATTCCTCAGTTACTGATTTTTGTATTTTTGAACTGTCTGCTCCTCTTGAATTAGCATGCCAGGTTCCATCCATTGTTCTG